CGCTTCCGCGCAGCCCCCTGGCGCGTCCGGCTGCGCCGGAGGCGCGGGCTACGTCGGGCACGCGGCGCGCGCAGCCATGCCCATTGGCCCGCGCCGCCCCCCCCCGAGGATTTCTCGGGGGCCCCGCGCGGGCGGGGCGCGGCGGGCGAAGCGCGGCAAAGGGCGGGGCGCCGCCCGCGCCCCACCCCTGGGCGGCGGCGGCCCCCATCCGCTGCTTCGCGACGTTGTCGTCAGCTGCCCGCCCGCCCGCAGTGCGCGCCCGGGGCCCGCGGGCGGGCCCGCGCCCGCCGGCGTCGGCGCAGCGCCCCGGCCATCCATCCCCGAGGCCGGCGCCGGACACTGGCCCTCGCGATCTTCAGCGGCCCGCCGCTCGGCCGCGGCAAGGGCGTCGCGGGCGACGCAGGGCACCGGCCGCGCGCGCCCCGCGCCGCCTGCGGGGGCTAGAAAAGCCACCGCGGCAGGCGGGGCGCCCGCGCGCCCGGAGATTTTGTTGTGTATAAAAAATATGCTTTAGATTGACTCCGGCAAGTTTACTTGCATGGACGGGGGGGGGGCTGAGCCTGAAGCAAGCCGCAAACGACTTGCACGTTCGGGAGGGGGGGGGCCTCCGTGCCGCGCAAGTGCAAGGGCGTTTTCTCGGGAATGGAAAATGCCTAAAGCCTTTGCCATGGACGTGCCATAAGGCCGCCCCCCCGAAGCCAGGCCCCCGTGACGATGCGCGCCCTAGGTTCTTGAGAGATGCCGCCCCTCCTGGCTTGGAGCCCCTAAAACAAACAAGCGTAAAGCAGTGCAACGCAACGCGAAGGCAAACCAAGCGAGGCGAAACAGGAATAACGATAACCAGCCCACTATAACGCAAGTCAAAACCAATTCAACGCAATGCAGCGCAACACGGCCAGGTGCGAAGCGGCGCATTGCGACGCAATGCAAAGCCATCCTGACCCATTGTCCAAGTCCAGGCCGCGGGGCATAGATGGCGACCCACTCTGCTGCTTGGAATGAAACCCTTTTTCATTTGGCAGAACACCCAAGTAGAACCAAATCGATGCCCCAATGACACCTTGCACTTGCACCCTGGGGGAGGGGGGGGGGCGCGGAAATCACGCAAGTCGAAAGGCACTTGCACGCGAGCATTCGCTTGGAGAGGGGGGGGGGGGGGGGGGGGCGAACGCCGCGCGAATAAAATTGCCGGAATCAAAAAAAAAAAAAAAAAAAAAAACTCCCGACTCGACCGCGGCGACGCCCCGGATCGAGCGATCGCGCCCGATCTGACCCCGGGGCCCTGCAAACCCCGGCTGGCCGCGGCAGAATCGATTGCGCCACGGCAGCGCCCGACAATCGCACCAGGCCCTCCGAACGCGGGCGGCTCTGCCGGCAGAAAGCGCGGCTGCCGCCGTCGCCCCCCCCCCCCCCCCCCCCCCCCTGCGACAAACCTTTCGGCGGGGGTCGCGCCGCCCTGCTGGCCCTGGCGGGGGCCGCTGCCGCATCGCGGCTATCAGAAAACCGTCTGCCAATGACCTATATGATCCGGCCCCGCAAACCGGTACCCCAGCTTCTACGCCGACCGAATTTCACATGATTCAATGCTGCAACTTCCGCAGCAACACCACCGCATTCGGAAGAAACGCCTCGTAGAACGAGCGCGAGGACATCCGCGCGCCGGCCTCGCTGTCCACTCAGAAACTCGGCCCGGCGATCGGGCGCGCCCGCCGCGCCTGCAATGGCCCCGCGAGCGAACCCCGACCCTGACCGCGCGCATCGCCTAGGGCCAACAAAAATCCTCCAATCAGAACTTCACAACCACTGGCGGGCACGAAGGGTGACGCGCCACTTTGTACACCCCCCTGCCACAAGTCGATGCGCAACATGGGCGCATGCACGCCTATCCGGATCCTTGATCTCGCCATGACAACGTTGCGGCTTCACCGTTGCCCGGGGAGGCAACGCTACCAAATTCAAGGATGGCATGGTGAACTGCTGGAAACGGCAAGTCGCGGGAGAAAGTGAACCGCGGGTAGAACCCAAGAGAAGCCGCGTGCCAGAACAACTGCAGGCGATGACGCTGCCCAGGATGGGGAGGGCCAAACGCACGCCACTCTCCGACGTGGAGACCCGACTGCAAATCTTGGATTTCGATCTAAACATTACTCTGCCATCTTATGATTTTCGTGGGACTCTCTGTTAGGTCTTCTTCCAAATCTCTTGAACCATCCATGAGGCACTGCTCGTTTAGCTCCTTCAGGCGGCGACGGGCGAACCTCGGGTTCCTCGATCAACCCCCAGCAACAGCAACAGGCGGCCACGGGCGGGAACGAGGCGAATCCTCGACCAAGCCCCACAGCTGCTAACGGGTGGCAGCGCAGAGAATCCTCGACGAATCCCCAAAAAACCTACAATGGACGGCAGCGGCTGGCAACGGCCAGGCCGCCCCTCCGCAGCGGTGGGGGCGTCGTCGTCGGCCCAAGAAACCAACGACGCGCGCTCTGCACCACCGTAGCAAGCCGTAATTTGAGGGATGAAAAAACGACCCTACCCTGGGTTACAAGTGCGTGGTCTGTAAACCTCCTGGGAGCCCCAAAGCCTAGAGCCGCCAGGACGCGGCACATCACGAAGGGTTTACCCTGTCAGCCCACAGGAGTTTCAGCGCACAGCGCCTCTTAAACCAGGGTAGGGGCGTTTTTTTTGCCCTTGATTAGTGGCCGCCCGGCCGGGCGGGGCCCCCCCGCGCCTGACTCGACCGCGGCGACACCGCGGTGACCTCAAGTGAACGATCGCCCAGCGGCAGCGGGCCGACACGGGCGGCAACCTTTGCGAATCCTCGACGAACCTCCACGGGCGGCAGCGGGCGCCAACGGGGGGCAGCGCGCGGGAGTTCGCCACTTGGCCAACCCCTCAGGCGAATCCTCGGCCAACCCCGATCCTCGACGACTACTTCGCATCAGTCCTCCCCCACGAGAACATCTTACAACACACCTCTCCCATTGGCTCTGTCGCGTAGGCTCCCATCGGCAATCCTCTCCCGCACGGCCCTTCCCATCTCCCATAGGTTCTCTCACATCTCCCACAGTGCCTCTTCCATAAGGGTCTTTTTTTCGTATATGGTCTTCCATAGGACTCGCGCATCAGGGTTTTCCCGAACAGCCTCTTCATTCGGGCCTCTCCAATGAAGACTCTACCATTAGGCCCTCGCACGTAGCATCTCGCTATGGGGATGGAGCCTCTACCATGGAGCCACCACAATGGATTCGGAGGCTCTCGCGCTCTCGAACCTCAGGATCCCCATGATGGCCCCGGCCTCCAGGATCGCCCTGGGACAGCCCAAGAAGCGACCAAAAGAACCTCAAGGCAGCCCAAGAAGGACCCATGACGCCCCAAAGACTGCCCCAAAAGCCCCCTCGAGGCCCCGAGGGCACCAGGGGCACCCAAGGCACCCCAAGACGCCCTTGAGAAAACCCATGACGCGGACGGATAATGCGGCTGCGAGAACCCAAGATGGCCCCGGAGACTGCCAAAATGGCACCCGCAGTCCCGGATGTCCAGCGCCGCAAGACCGCGGAAATGCCACGGCAAGTACGAAGCTCGTGTTGTGTTCTTGGGGGTGCCGTAGGAGGGCCCCAAGAGGCCGAAGCCATCGCTTCCCGATCGACTATCTATGTACGATCAGTTTGTACGCGTTTAGATATACACAGATGATATGTGTATACATATGTTTGAAACTATAGAAATAAACACAGAGAGAGAAAGAGAGATATATATACATAAACAAAGAGAGAGAGAGAGACAAAAAAAGAGGAGAAGGAGAGAGAGAGAGAGAGAGAAAAAAAAAAAAAAAAACATTCCGATATGAGAAGAAAGGGGGATGGGAAGTGATAGGAGGACAGGGAGTGGTGGATGGGGACGGAACAAGGGGTGGGTTTGGAGACGGAGGAGAGGGTGACGGGGGAGGATAGGAAGAACGAGGAAAGGGAGAGGAGGGGGGAGGTGAGGGACAGGAGGGAAGGAGAAGGAGAACAATAACGTTTCTGTCTCCATTACCTCCCACCCTTCTCCCTCCTTTTCCCCTCTCCCCTTCTTCATCTTGCCCCCGGCACCAGGACATTTCGAGCGCTTCCCGCGGACAGGCTTTCCATCCTGGGCTGCTTTTTGATGGCCAGGATCGGCAATGCCTCCCAGCTCGTGTTTCCTTCGGGGACGAGAACAGGGGTCGGGGTCTATGATCCTCCTCCCCTTGAGGAACAAACGATGCCATACACCGACTCCTTACCAGCCTCGAACGTATCCCTATCCCTAAGATTGACACGCCAAAAGGCAATGACAATCTTAGGGGTTCGCCCTCACAAATAAGGGAACCCCTAAGATTGGCATCGTGATGAGGAGGTGCCCAGCATAGGAATAGGGATATGTTCCAGGCTGGAAAACTCCCCTGCTTCCCGGACGTACCTCCCGGGGCGCGCTCTGACACATTTGTCGATGAGCACCCAGCCGTGTCGACAAGGGCACCCCGGGAGGTCCCCAAAAACAGAAAACGATGAAAGGACAACGCCATGACTGTCCTCCTCCTCCTCCTCCTCCTGTCCTCCTCCTCCTCCTTCCTGTCCTCCTCCTCCTGTCCTCATCCTCCTCCTGTCCTCCTCCTCCTGTCCTCCTCCTCCTCCTTTCTGTCCTCTTCCTCCTGTCCTCCTCCTCCTCCTGTCCTTCTTCTCCTCCTCCTCCTCCTCCTGTCCTCCTCATCCGACCCCCTCTTATTCTCGAGGAACAACCGTAGCATAATGGAGGATGAGGAGAGGAGGATGCTGCTGCTGATGATGAGCCGGAAGATGAGAACGGTGAGGTGGTGGAGAAGACGGAACGACAGGAGGAGTAGGACGAGGACGAGGGAGAAGAGGAGAAGGAGAAGAGAGGAGAGCGGAAAGCGAGAGGAAATACGACCAGGCAAGACATCCAGCGCCCTCGCCTGCTCCGCCGCCCCTGCCCAGGCCCCGGGTCCCAGCCCCGGCGTCCGGGTGGAAGATCAGGGCGAGTCGCCTCCACAGCGGAGGTGGAGGAGAAGCGAGCGAGCGACCTCTGCTTTTGTTCTATGGCATCGTCGTCGTCATTGTCGTCGTCATCGCCAGCCTCGTCATCGTCATCGTCGTCGTCATCGGCCTGAAAATCTGACGAGGAGAAGCGCGCCATCCGTGGTCGCGTGGCACTCCGAAAGACGGCGGGGACCAGGAGAATATCGGGCGGAGCTCTGGCGGGACAGCAAGCAGTCTAGAGGGCCCTGAGCACAGTGGTCTTGGCTGCCCTGCACACTTTTTGTGAGCGCTGAAAACAACAGGAAGCCTCCGAGAGGAAGCCTCGGGCACCCCATCCTCGACTACTCCTCAAACCCAGGATGCTTGACACAAATGCTTCTCTTCCCTTCCATCGGTGGCCACAGGTAGCACCTGTTTCCAACAGAGGCCCACAAGATCGCAACACCCCGCAACTCCGAAACTTGCACCCCTGGGTTACCAGCCTGGAACATATCCCTATCCCTGTGCTGGGCACCTCCTCATCACGATGCCAATCTTAGGGATTCCCTTATTTTTTGAGGGCGAACCCCTAAGATTGTCATCGCCTTTTGGCGTGCCAATCTTAGGGATAGGGATACGTTCGAGGCTGGTAAGGGTAGCGGTTTCGGTGTCCTGCTCCTTCTCTGGCACTCCACGGCCACTCCACGGCCACGGCACTGGGAAACGCGACCCCCCCCCCCTCGGCGGCGAGCGAGGGGAGGTAGTGAGACGGAGAAGGGCTTCTCAGAAGGCGCGGGACCTCTCCGAAGCCCCCGCATCTTCCGAGATATGTTTTTGCTTGCTTTCGGAGGAGGCTCCTAAGACTTCTCGGACGGCCGGGGCACCTCCGAGCCTTCGGAGCAGGCCCGCCCCTTCTCGCTTCCCCCCCGGGCTCACCGCCGACCTCGGGGATCTTCTGACACGGGTGAATCCAGACCCGGGTCAGCAGGAAACCAAAAAACTGCAGTGCAGGGGGAAAAAACTGCAACGCAGGTCTTCGCATACCCGGGTCAGCCAATATGCGCGGCCGCCTCGCGGCCACGAGCGGCTCGCTGACCCTGGTCAGCCAGGGGGGGTCTTCGCAGGATCCGGTGCCCTGGCTGACCCCCGTTTGCATGGACCCCCGTCTCGAGGCTCCCGACGACCCCCAGCAAAAGCAGCGCCGGCCGCAGGCGGAGCGGGCGAGCCTGAAGGCGCGCTTCACGTCCTCGGTGCTGCACCCCGGAGACAGCCCCAGCACGAAGCGGGCGGCGACCTGTGCCCCGCGCGGGCGGCGCGCCGACCACGGCACGGCGCGCGGCAGCACCAGAGGCTGCGCGACCTCGCGCCGTGCGCAAAAACCACGGCGACGGTGTTTTACAGTCGGGGCGTTGACCTGAGGAACCCCAAAAAATGGAACGAGGCCCCTATTTCCCATAAGTTAAACTTCGATCTCATATCGAAAACCTAAGGAAAACCTAAGGCAAGCTGCGAAACAATTAAGGAACACGGAGCCCCTCCCCAATGAAAAGGGTTCCTTCTTCAGCGCCCCGACTGTACTGTTTTCGAGCTCCGGGCGGGAGGGGCTTTCTGCTGCGGCGGCTGCCGCTCCTGGGGCTGCCACTGCTGCTGCCGCTACAGGCGCTGCCGCTGCTGCCGCTGGCACCGCTGCCAGCGCTCCCGCCGCCGCCGTCGCCCTCGGCTCGCCATGTGGCCGCGGGGGGTCTGCATGCGAGTCCGTGCTCGTCCGCGAGCTGTCGGCTTGACATCCAGGTGCAGGCCCCGCCAGCGGCGCCAAAGGGCAGAGCGAAGCTCCAGTCCTGCCTGGTCATTGGCGTAGAAGGATTTACCGATTCCGCAAGGGCCGCCCGAATCCATGCTCTGCTGTCGCGTCCTCGCCCCTCCCTGCCAATTCTCTTCTTGATTCGGTTGCCCCTTGCCCTTCCTTCGAAAAATTGCAAGGTTGCCAGTCGCCTGCGCCGACCCTTGAATCCCACCGCATCCACCGAGGATCAATGCACGCAGAAGTCCAGTGCTTCTCTTGGTACTACTTCTCTCGGAGCCCTGCATGGCCCCATTTGCACGAACGCTACTATCTACACGCGGCGGACAGATATCAAAGGCCTCAGCGAGCGTTGAGATCAATTCCACACTTGAGGTCCTCCATGTCCGGAGTGGAGCGTCATCGATCTTCCCGCCTAATAGGCGAAAACGCGGACCACGAGCGCTCCCTCCTGTGCCTATCATCCCGCACATTCTCTTCGTCTGTGAAACATCCATCGCCATCACTACCATCATCACCACCATCATCATCACCATTTCCATTACCACCAGCATCACCGCCATCATCGTCACCGTTACCACTCATCTGTCTCACCATCAGCAGAGTCACCGTGCACCAGCATCGTCATCACCAAAGCATCGTCCTCATCGCCATGCAGCATCATAATGCCTTCCATCATCATCATCATCATCATCATCATCATCATCATCATCATCATCATCATCATCACCACCATCAGCATCATCATCACCATCATCATCATCATCACCACCATCATCATCCTCATCATCAGCATCAACATCAGCTTCGTCATCATTATCATCATCACTATCATCATCAGCATCGCCATCATCACCATCATCAGTGGCATCATCATCAGCATGGAGATCATCAGCATCATCATCAGCATCTCCATCATCACCAGCATCACCATCACTATCACCCATAATCACCTGCATCACCACCATCAGCCACAATCGTAATCATTCATCCTCCACCGTCATCTCACCACCGTCACCATTCGTCATCCTCACGACCATCATCATGACCAATCATCCTCAGCGTCATCAACAACATCATCATCATCATCCGAATCATCATCACCATAACCATCACCATTTACCATCATAATGAGTATCACCATCCCCAGCATCGGAATCATCAGCATCATCATCATCATGACCATGATCATGATCATCATCAGCACCACCATCATCATCATCACCACATCATCATCAACATCAACACCATGATAATCATCATGGTGGTGAACACCGTCATTACTATCAGCATCGGCATCGTCGTCCTTATCATCAGTATCATCATCACCATCATCATCATCATCAGCATCACCATGACAATCATAAGCATAATCATCATCATAAACACAAGTATCACCATTCGTCAGGATCCCCACCATTACCATGATCGAACACCAAACATCAGCGTCACCAGCAACAGCATCAACATCATCCACAGCATCACCATAACCATCATCTCGTGAATCATCATCAGCACCTTCATCACCAACATTTTCATCATCACTATCGCCATGTTCACGATCACAAATCACCATCAACATCACCCACCTCATGATCACAATAGCCATCGCTATCGTAAAGACCATCATCATCAGCAGCATCATCATCGCCGACATCATCAGCATCATCAGTATCATGACCATGATCATGATCACCATCGTCATCACCAACAGCATCGTCATCACCATTATTACAGCATCGTCATCATCAACCGCATGATCATCATCATCGTCGTGATCACCATCGTTACCATCATCATCATCGTCGTCACCACCATCATCGTCATCATCACCCGCATCGTCAGAATTACCATCGTCATCAACATCAGCACCATCATCATCACCATCATCATCATTACCAGCAGCAATACAATTTGCTTCGCCATCGGTGGAATTGCCCCCCCTCCCGAAACGCAGACGCACCTCCCTCCGTGGCTCTCTTGCAATGCGGCTGCGGTGCGCCACCTAGCCTGGGACGATGAGACGCGTCTGCCCGAGGCACTCCGCCCCTGGACTGGCCCGCGCGCACGCGCTGCGCAAGCCTGGGCCGCGGTTCAAAACGAAGCCGCCTGCAGGCAAACCCACCTGCAGGGAGGAGGAGGAGGAGGAGGAGGAGGAGGAGGAGGAGGAGGAGGAGGAGGATAATGAGGAGGATGGGGGAGGATGAGGAGATGGAGGAGGAGGAGGAAGAGGAGAGGAGGAGAAGGAGGAGGAGGGTAATGAGGACGAGGGGGAGGATGATGAAGATGATGATGAGGAGGAGGAGGAGGAAGAGGAGGAGGAGGAGGAAGAGGAGGAGGAGGAAGAGGTCGACACCGATGCGGACGATGACGGCGACGCCGAGGACGAGAAGTCGGAGGAGGAGGAGGAGGAGCAGTCGGAGGAGGAGGAGGAGGAGGAGGAGGGGTCGGAGGAGGAGGAGGAGGCGGAGGAGGATAAGGATAGGGGTAAGGCCGTCGGGGGTCGCGCTGTCCACAACTCTGAGCACTTTGACCCCTGGGAACTACATGGAAGCACCCCCTCTACCAGCGAAGCAACTAGTTGGCCCGAGGAACTGTCAGCGGCGGGCGAATCTAGGGTTGCTCTCGCGGGCCCTTCGCCTCGCTGCCCCGCTGCAGGGGCCCCTGCTCCGTGGTCACCGTAATGCAACAAAACAGGAATGCCGCCAGGGAGGGCAGCTGGCTCTGAAGGCCTCCTCCCCCCACCTCGCCCCCCCCGCGCCCCCCCCACCCTCCCTGCAACAAGACAAAAAAAGGAGAAAAGCGGCCTGGTACTTGTTGGTCGCGCCGTCTCTCTCTCTCTCTCTCTCTCGCTCTCTCGCTCTCTCTGCCGCTGCTGGTATATGAAAGTGCCGCGCCCCACTGCGCGGCTGAGACGGCTCAGCAGGCTGCATCAAGAACGATTGTCACGGAGATGGCTGCGATCTCTGTGCCTATGCCGCCCACTTTCGCTCTGAGACGCCGGGCCCTCGGCCAGCCTTGGTGGCGACTGTCTCGTTCGTGGGCCCGGCATCTCCACTCCGCTCACTCTGCTGGTGGTCGGTGCCTCCGTCATTGCGAAGGGGGCGAAGCGAGCCCGAAGAGGTGGGCGAGAGCGAGCTCGGCTGCAACAAGGCAAGACAACAAAAAAAGGAAGAGGCGGCCCGGCACTTGATGATCGAAGCCTCACTCTCTCTCTATCTCTCTCTTTCTCTCTCGATCTCTCTGCTGCTGTTGTATATGTAAATGCTGCAACTCACTGGCCGCAGTTGAGGAAGGCTAAGCAGGCTGCATCGAGAAACGATTGTCGAGGAGCTGGCTGCGGTCTCTATGCGTACGCCGCTCACTCTAGCTCTGAAACGCCGAGCCCCCAACCCGCTTCAGTGGCCACTTCCTCGCTCGTGAGCCTGGCATCGCCGCTCACCCTGCTGGCGGTCGGCGCCTCCATCAGCACGTAGTGAGTCTTCCACCCCTGCACTGATGCCGACGGCTTGTGACACTTTGCGCGCCTCTGGTGGGCGGCTGCTCCGGTTGACGTCAGAGGGGCGGGATGCTGCCTCTCGTCAGCGATGTCGCACCCGAGCCCGTGCTTGCTCTTCGACCATTTCGTGTACTGGCCTTCGAGCTCGTCTTTCTGCCTGCGGCCGTAATCCGTTTACCATGGGAATGGGCCCTTCATGAGTCTCAGCCCTTCAACTCCGTGGCGATTTGGATCGCGTGCTCGATATTCTGCAGCTGGTGTCATGATCTCGATGCCTTGGACTCGCTCCATATCCTCATGCACGTTCTCGCTGCGAGAGCACATCGGTCGTCCAAGACTGGTGGCGAGCCTCTCCTGCCGACGCTAGAGTACGGTGATCGTTGTCTGGACGGGGTCGTTGCACTGCTCTTGCTGATGACTTGCGTACTGGAGTGCGCGATGTTGAGGCGATGCTCCATGCCGCCGACTACCAGCTCGCCCTGTCCTCCGCGGCACTGAGGGCGCTGCGCGAGAACCGGTGGAGGAGGTGGTTGCTGCACCCGCTGCTGTTGGAGCTGCTGGTTCTCGTTCTCCTCCGCGCCAATTATGTCCGCGCCTTCCATCTGACGGCTAGCCCGTCGGGCTGTCCATCGCTGTGGGGGGTGGCTCTGCGCGTCGCTGTCCTGGGTCGGCTCTGTGACGTTGGGGCCGAACGAGCTACGTGCAGGGACCGCGGTGGTGATCGTGGTTGTAGTTTCCTTAGTGACCTTGCTTGGCTCAGTTCTTTTTGTTGCAGTAGCTTCCTTAGTCTGACTGTCTGCCTTGGTGTAGTACTCACATTGCACGTTCACTTACCACAGTCCACCATGGGCGGTCGCACAAAGCAACGTCGCCCCTGGCTGTACTACCTGCCCCATGGGCCTCTCGGGACATTCGGTGCCTGCGAGGGCCTCTGCCTTGTTCGCGCGCGGGGGCGGGTCGGGGGGCAGGGCGAGAGTTGGCCCTCGTCCAATAT